GTCAAATAAATAAAATCTTAAAAAAAAAAAAAAAAGAATGTTCTAAAAATAAACTTTGAGCAATTACAAAAATCTGGAAGATCTACAAACATGGGAGAATGACCCCTTTCTGAACCAGCAATGGAATCAGCAAATTCTCAAAAACATACCAAGTAAAGAAAATGGACAAATGGGTCCAAGCTAGATATTGGTCCCTCATCCACACCTGAGGAGAAATTGGTGACTCCTGTAAATTCTTCAGTTGTACTCGGTTATAATTTAATCCATACATAGGTAATCCAACCGTATCCATTGTGTAAAGTTAGTTTGCCTCAACTCATTTTATTGATTTGGTACAGTTAAAGAACTTTCCTACCTTGGGGAGTTTAGAACCCAGAGGAGAAGAGGGTCAAACAGGCCAATCTGATGCAGGCTCCCTCTTACTTTTGCAGTCAAAATGTTGGCCTACTCCTTAGCAAAACTGGAAAAAAAGGTTTTCAGAGTGCTTTCACAAGGCCCATTTACAGCAGGTGTTCTAGATGTTACTCACACACCTTAGTTCTTTTCCACCAAAAGCAGATGCCTCTAATCTCGCCTGTCCACCTAATCTCACCTAGTTCTTTGTGTTTAGAACACCTTTTCTGTACATGACTGATGAAGATTAAGGTTTAGTACATATTCAGAGACCTAAGCTCAAATTTCATATTTAGCTTCAATTACATTAGCTATCACCTTTAACCAACTAGAAAAAATACAGAGAAAATAGCCATGTATCATAACGTGGTACCAACCCATCTTTTTAACCCTTCACCATGCATTTCACAGATGTTTCTTGAATTCTACTAGGTGGTAGGCACTGTCACCTGTGTAAACCCTTTAACCAAACTTAATCCCTCAGTTCTCCCATGCTCACCCCTCAAACTTCTCTACTCTGAAATCTTGTTCTTGTTTCCCCCTGACCTGGAATGTCCTTTGCTCTGCTTCTGAAATACCACATTCCTGCTCACTCTTCACAGCCCAGTTTAGGCTTCAAACTTTGAAAGCATCCTCTCATCATTTCAAGCCATCTTACTTTCTAATCTTTTACAGAAATAGTTTCCTCTAGGACTAACTTGGTACTTTGCATGTCATGTTCAGTATTTCCAGTAATCTTTCATTACTATGGCTTTTCTCAAACTGGAATTCTGAAAATCGAGGGCTTTGTTTTATATTTGGTATCCTTGCATTTTCTGTCTCAGAACACTACTCCTGGTATGCATTTAATAAAGCTCAGTGAGCCTTTTGCTTAACTGTCACTTTCTCATTCCCAATTTCTCTTCTGGTAGTGCTCCATTTTGTATGGGGAAAGCCACTAGGACCTCCCAGAATTCTGTATTCAGGTATAGAGGGGCTGAATAAAGCTGATTGTCCTAGGTACACATTTCTGCCTCCATAGGTAGCCCCAATTGTGGTAGATTGAGAAAAATCAAACTGCAGGAATCACCATCGTGCCCTGGCATACAGCATTGGTAATTGCATCTCAAGAGATGACAGACTAACAAAATGAGAGAGGAAAACTTGAATGGAACATTTAGACCAGAAAAATAAAACCTATCTCAAGATTTTTCACATTTTGGGTTTCGTATTTCCCAAACACATGTGCCAAGTTCTGCCTACATTCCCACTGGCACTCCATTTCTTAAAAGTAGTTTTGTTAAAACACTTAGTGGGCTTCAATGAGAAATGTAAGCATATAAAAATGCAGGGTTGTGAAAAGGTAGATTGACTGTAGAAGAGGGGAACAGGGGCATAAAAACAGCCCTAACACAGATGAGCTTCCACACCGTGTGTCACAGTGAGAGACTCCCTTTCCCACTCTTCAGGGGTATGTAGCCATTTGAGAACACCCAAGACTGAATCATGACTATCAAAGACCCATGCTGCATCATCACATTGCTGGTGGCCAGGAGCCAGTGCTGTCATCACTTGGTTTTGTGCTGCTTAGGGCAGAAAATCTGATTGTTCAGCAACATGTAATCAGCTTAAAACAAATCTGGAAGATGTTACTCAAAGACAAGATGATATCCAGGCCCTGGAATTTTGTGCAGACAAAGAAAATGAAGGATTTGCCTTAAGATAAAAACTGTATCTGAAGCAAGAAATTTGAGGCCTTGGGACAAGATTCAAGTCAATAAGTTTAATAGTAAGGCTTTAAGAAACTGGGATCACAACCCAAATAAGCCGGGTAAGTCCTGCAGAGCAGTGAGAGAAGCCAGGGTCCAATTTCTAGAACTAAAATCCTGTCTTCTATGACGAGATACTTATATTCTTCAGAGAAGGTACACTCCCAAGAGAAGTGGAATTACATTTAAACACCAAGATGATAGAAGTCTTAAGAACGGAACTGAGTCATAGTTTAACTTACTTATGTAGCCTATAAATTTGAATATATCATTCTGTCTCTACTAACCTTCCCCCCACCTTTTTATTGGAAAAAATAGGGATAGAAGTACTAGCTTTAGTAGTATTTGGGTACAAATCTCCTTTTCTTCCTTCCACATTCACTCTCCCACCACTCCTGGTGTGTTAATGTAGCAGAAGTGGGATTTAAAATTATGTGTGGTTGCAGAAGGAAACAGACTCTTTTAACATAAAAGCTGCAGCAAATACATTATTAAAAGGTTACTCTACAGAAATGTAAAGGCCTGCTCTGAGAAAGTTCACCCTAAGCCCTTTCTAGTCAATGCCCCAATCCTTTTTTCTTCACCTTCAGGGGCTATTGTATGGCATCCAGCCTTAATGACTACCAGGGACAGAAGAATGGGAGTAATAGAAGGGTGAGCATGAGGGAGTCTTGAAAGGTGAGTGAAACAGCCAATGCTTTTTGAGTGCTTACTATTCACTATATACCATTTTAAGTACTACATATATTTTATTCTTTTTTTAAAGATTTTATTTATTTGACAGAGATCACAAGTAGGCAGAGAGGCAGGCAGAGAGAGAGAGAGAAGAGGAAGCAGGCTCCCTGCGGAGCAGACAGCCCTATGTGGGACTCGATCCCAGGATCCTGGGATCATGACCTGAGCTGAAGGCAGAGGCTTTAACCCACTGAGCCACCCAGGCACCCCAAGTACTGCATGTATTTTATTTAATCCTCATAACAAACCCTTGAGAAAGGCACTCTTAATACCCATTTTGCAGATGAAGAAAGTCAGGTAGGGGAGGTTAAGTAATTTGTCTACCACTTCACATGGAGTAAGTGTTAAAACTGAAACTCCAAGGTCTGAACTGAGACCATGCTCTTTTCCACTAAAATTTACTGTGTAAGAGTGGAATTGCCCAGGCAAAGAGAGAGAGGAAGGTTGTTTGGGATAGGAGTCACATGAGTAAAGGTGCAAACACATGAAATAAGATTGGTGCTGAGAGCTCTAGAAATTTTAGAAAGCATATAGGAGAGATTGTGGAGAAGTCAGTTATAGCCAAGTCCAGAAATGTTAGGATTTGCTGATTTACCAATAGATGGATAAGCTTGTAATATTAATGGATGTGTTTCCCCTGGTATGGTATCTCCTGGAATCAGTGACCTTTCCCTTGTCTGCTGGGCTGTGAGGCATCAGTTGTGTTAAGAGAGGGTTGATTTCAGAAGAGAAAATGTCCACTTTGTAAAGGTCTTTGGAATACCAGAGAATATCAGATTATTGTGTTTGTGAACAGTTAAGTATTGTGCAATAATATTTTGACCAGAAACGACTTGGACTGTCTCATAATATGTAAAAGAAGTTCTCCTCCAATTAAAAAAAAAAAAAAAATTCTCCAGGCTGAGGAAGGGCAGAGAGGAAGGTAGGGATAAGATAACTTGCACTAAGGTTAGAATGTCAGAGAAAGGTAAATGTGCCTCAAAATTGAAACACAGTCCAGGGAGCCAGCAAGATCCAGAATTCCCCATTACCCAGTATTGTAAAGGGGCAGTAGCATAGAAATGGCTTCATGGAACATCTAGATAGAAAGACCTTGGCTGCAGCAAGTTTACAGGAATGCTGTAGTGGAAGCAGGTAAAGGTTGTCTACAAGCCAGAGAAAAGTTCAATATCTTTTGCTAGAGAGCTTGCCTGGAGAGGTCTGTTTGCAAACAAGGGGAAAAGAGCAACATACAGGAGCTAAGGAGCAGAGGTCACCTTAGTGATCTAAGTCTCAAATGATGTCACTGTGATTGGATGTAGATAACCTGGACCAGCTTCCTTTTGCCCCATCCGTCTCCTTACCATATTGTCTTAACACTAGTTATTCCTTTCTCAAGAACCAAGTTTAGAGGGGCCCCTGTGTAGCTTAGTTGGTCAAGCATGTGACTTGGTTTCAGCTCAGGTCATGATCTCAGGGTCCTGGGACAGAGCCTGGTGTGGGGGTCCACACTGAGGATGGAATCTTGAGATCCTCTCTCCCTCTGTTCTCTCCTCCCCTGCCCCCGAACACATGTGTGCACACACTGTCACCCACTTGCTAATAAAATAAATAAAACCCTAAAAAGAAAAAAAAATGAGTTTGGAGATGGGCAACTTTATTAATTTAATTTGCAAAATTAAATTCCTTATACACCTTAATTTGTGACTTGGCATTTGTGCCTATTATACACCAAAGTTTTACATTTCATAGTAATAGATATATATATAATCTGTAATGTATAAACAAATTGAAGGAAGTACAGACAGAGATGGATTTCAAAGAAAGAAATCAACTGGGGAAGGACAGATGAATTGAGAATTGAAGGAAGCAGTGAGACAGATTGGAGTGGGGAGTAGCACCAACTCCAGCTTAATGAACAGGCATTCTTCATAGATGGACTAGGATGTCAATTTACACTTATTTAAATAATTTTAAACAAATGTGCTTATTTCTTTGTCACCGTCTCTGGGTAGGACATCTAAAGAACACTCTTGGGCGCCTGGGTGGCTCAGTGGGTTAAGCCACTGCCTTCAGCTCAGGTCATGATCTCAGGGTCCTGGGATCAAGGCCCGCGTTGGGCTCTCTGCTCAGCAGGGAGCCTGCTTCTCTCTCTCTCTCTCTCTCTCTCTCTCTCTCTGCCTGCCTCTCCATCTACTTGTGATCTCTCTCTGTCAAATAAATAAATAAAATCTTTAAAAAAAATAAATAAAAATAAAGAACACTCTTTTCTTTCCATTTGTAGACTCCTCATCCCATGTATGAATTTGCTCCAATTATTCTAGCTTTTTCTTGAACTGGTCCTGTCTATCCTACCATTGGGATGACTTAAATATTTCTATCCTCATTCCTCAACTGACCCCTAACAATTCAGGATGGGGCATTTTATTATTTTTTCAAGATTAATTTATTTGAGACAGAGAGGAAGAGAGACCATGCATGTGTGAGAACTCGGACAGGAAGAGAGGGAGGGGCAGGGGGAGAGGTAAAGAAGCTCAAGCAGACTCTGCACTGAGCATGGAGTCTCACCATGGCTTGATCTCATGACCCTGAGATCATGACCTTAGCTGAAATCAAGAGTCGGTCCCTCAACTGACTGAGCCACCAGGTGCCCAGAGGATGAGCATTGTATTTTTGCATTTCTTCTAAATTCTTTGCAAAACTACCTCACCAAGTAATGTAAAAACTTGCTGCCATAATTCCATTCTATAACACTTCTCTGAAGTTTTCAATTGTATTGACTTCATTTAAGTTTTTCCGAACTTAAAAATATGAAGCCTGAAGTTGATTTTCTTCTAAATTGCAACAATGGTACCAAGGATCCAGTTTAATTTGAATCATTTTAAAACAACCATAACTTTGTGCATCTCTAAACTTTATCTTACTTTTTCACATTAATGCATACCAACATATCATAGCCTTTTCCAATTTTTTTTAAAGACTTTATCTATAGAGAGAGAGCATGAGCAAGGGAAGGGGGAGAGAGAGAATCTCAAGCAGACTCTGTGCTGAGCAGAGCCAGTTGCTGAGCTCAATCTCAAAATTCTGACCTCAATCTCAAAATCCTGAGATCACAACCCGAGCTGAAATCAAGAGTCAGACACTTAACTGACTGAGCCACCCAGGCACACCACTTACCCATCATCTTAAACATTTTTATATAGTCCTTAATTTCTCACCTCAAACTTCATTTTTATTATATCCAAATACTTTTTAGCAGTATTTGAATAATTATTTCTTTTTTCTGTAGTATGTGTCCTGTTATGACCTTGTTATGAAGGGCATTTAAGCTTTTTGTCTAAACTTAATTTTCTCATCTCCAAATACAAATATTAAGAAAAATTATTTAGCTAATACTTGCATGGCACTTCCAGTGTGCTGGTTCTGTTCTAAGCACTTTGCCAATATTTGTTTGGTCCATCTTCATAAGATCTCGAGTAGATAGATATTTCTCATATCCCTACTGTATGAAGAAACTATGGCACAAAGAGGTTAATTTGTCTGAGGACCCACAGCTACTAAATTGTGAACCAGGAGTTGAGCCTCTGACACTTGACCATTACACCATGCTGCCTCTCCATTTAAAAAAGCTTAGACTCTATCTGCATTTATATGTTAAACAGAGTTTCTACTCTTAAGGCACTGACAATGTCAGTACTACCGTACTAACAGTTAAAGTGCTGACAATTTAGTACAGATGCTTACAATCAAATGATCAATAATTCTCACCTGCTTCAACTGACCATTGAGGATCTGCCTTCAAAGTATTGACCATAAATCTAGCAGACGTTGAGCCTTATTAAATGTGGATTATAATTATACACTAAAGACACTAATAGGTTTGCTAACCATGTTTGTCCACTGGAAACTTATCACTGGTCATATCAGCTCACAGGCACACATGTCTCAAAGGAGTCTGGCATTGAAGAAAACTAAGATATGAATTTGTCTTTGCCAACTGTTCCATCCTTCAATATCTCTCCCTTGCATCTACCCTTCGGACACCTCAGACAAGCACAAAGAATCACCTTAAACTTGTGCTTTAAGTGAAATTTGCCACTTAAAATAATAATTTACATTTGCATTGCACTCAACTACTCTCCAGTCCAGGCTTTCTGACACCCAAGGTGAATTTTTGCTGGTTAAAACCAGCAGTTAGAAAGCAGAAGGTAAGAGGCTGGGATTACCTCAAGGAGTTTTGCATCTCTACAGAGAGTGGCTTGGACTTTCCCAGTTAAGATATTTCCACCCAACTACTAAACTAGGCCTGACCCACTTAAGAAATGGTCAGAAGACATGAATTGACACTTTTCCAAAAAAGAGATCCAGATGGCTAATGGATACATAAAAAGATGCTCAACATCACTATCAGGGAAATACAAATCAAAACCATGATGAGATATCATCTCACACCTGTCAGGATGGCTAAAACTAACAACACAAGAAACAACAGGCGATGGTGAGGATGCAGAGAAGGGGAACCCTCTTGCACTTATTGGTGGGAATGCAAACTGGTGCAGCCACTCTGTCTAACAGTATGGAGGTTCCTCAAAATGTTAAAAATAGAACAACCCTGCAATCCAGCAATTACACTACTAGATTTTTACCCAAAGGATACAAAAATACATATTCAAAGGGATACATGCACCCCAGTGTTGACAGTAGTCTTGTCAATAATAGCCAAACTATGGAGAAAATCCTAATCTCCACTGAGTAATGAATGGATTAAAAAATAGTACACAAAAAATAAGAAATAAAAAAAATAGTACACACACACACCACATTGGAATATTACTCAGCCATCAGCAAGAATGAAATCTTGCCATTTGCAACAACATGGATGAAGCCAGAGTGTATCATTATGCTATGTGAAATAAGTCAGAGAAAGACATCGTATGATCTCACTCATATGTGGAGTTTAAGAAAGAAAACAGATGAATGCAGGGGATGGGGAAAAGATAAAAAGGAGAGAGAGGAACAAGCCTTAAACTCTTAATGACAAAGAACAAACTGAGGGTCATGGAAGGGAGGTGGACAGAGGATGGGCTAGATGGGTAATGGGTACTAAGGAGGACACTTGTGATGAGCACTGGGTGTTGTTTGTAAGTGATGAATCACTGAATTCTACTCCAGAAACTAATATCGCACTGTATGTTAACTACCTAAAATTTAAGTTAAATAAAAAAACAAGTTAAAATAAATAACATCTCAGTTATCAAAACAACAACAACAAAAAGACTCCTCCTATGCATTTTGTTTCTTTGTAAAGCCCTGGATAATAAATAATTACAATGGCTTACAAATTTAGGGGGCTGATATGTATTAGGCACAGTTTTGTAAACATCACATTTTCTTTCTTAAAACAATCCTTGGAAGCAGATGATACCAGTACTGTATTTTTGAGTTGTGAAACTGAGGCTGGGAAGTTAAATAATTTTCTCAAAATCCATATAACTGCTCAGGACTGAATGTATGCTTTCATGAATCAAGTTTGGTTTTCTATTACTTCACAGCAAATTTCCACACAACTGAGCGACTTAACCATTTTATTTTACTCACAGATAGGTCTGGAACATGGGAAGGACTTGGCAGGGCTCTTCTCTGATCCATGTGGCATCATACGGAACAGCTCAGGCTAATGAATCTGCTCTCAGGGTGGCGTCTTCCTTCCTATATGCATTGCCTCAGTGCTCCTTGCTGTTTCTCCTCCTCCAGAGCTTCCCAGTGTAGCTTGGGCTTCTCACCACACAGTGGGTTCAAGAGTCTCATTTCTTACATTGAAGCTGACTTTTAAAAGCAAGTTTTCCCAGAGAAAAGGAGCAGAAACTAGCATTCCTCTTTAATGTAGGCTGGAAATTTCACCTTATCTTAATGGTCAAAGAGGTCCAAGGCTGCCTATATTTATAGAGGGGAAATGGGCCCCACCTTTCAATGGGAGGAGTGTCAAAGCATTTGCAGCTGTAGTCAATCAATAGTGCCTGCAGCCTCTTCAATCAATCAAGCATTTACATTCAGGTGGTGGCTTAGGCTGGAGGCCTTTGAAGGCTCTTTTGCATGGGACAGCCCAGTTGGCTTCCTAGTGTGACTGCAAACTGATGTTGGCAATTGGCTGAGAGCACGGATACCGATATGGCCCTTGACCAGGGTGCCTACCCTATACACAATACAATCTCACTGTGTAGATTCTCAAGCATGGTGGCTGGATTCTTAGAGAGAGTCCTAAGAGTTATCATTCCTGGAGGCAGAGGCAAAGTTCTGCCTCAATCTATTGGTCAGGTGATCATTAAGAGGATCTGATTCCCGAGTAGAGTAGACTCCACCTCTTGGTATGAGGCACCAACTTCTATCAGTTGCAAGATCTTCCCATAAGGTGCTTGCCTTCTATCAGAGTGCACGCTTTTGTTTTTTATTTACCAGTTACATATTTCATGCAATGAAAGTTATGGTTTAATGTATTCATGAAGGAATGCCACCAAGTAAGGGACCCTCAGCTCAGATAGACTGAACCATAGGAAATGTCTAATACTCAACCAGCTTTGACCAACAAAAATTGCAATTTCATGATTCAACTTAAAATTTTAGGTGTCTGTCAGCAATGAGATGTATAGTAAAATAAAAACACTTTATATGAATATTTAGCAGAATCAGAAAGAAAGATTTGCTATCTTAACTTTTAGAGAAAAAAAGGGCATTTTATGCTAGCTCAGAATTGCCAGACCAACATTTCTATCTTCTGCTTACTTATATCCCTTAGTCCAGATCCTTGAAGCCCTTCCTGGCATTGATTCTCTAAGTTTATGAGGCCAATGCTTATATTTGGTGAATACTTGTAAAGGCCTGCTCTCCAACCTTATCCCCATGGGAGGGAATAAGGTCAATTCACTGTGTCAATAGAAATGAAAGTGTTCTCCTTCATACCACATCTTCTATTTTTCTTTGTGACTTTCCCAGTGTTGCTCCCCACATGAAGGACCTGTCTTACAATTTACTTCTAAAAGAAAAGCTTTTCAATAATAGATTCCCCTGTGAAGCTCCCCACAGCTCTTAAAATGAGGGAAGGGAGCCAAACCTCCAAGCTCAAAGTTGACAACTTGCTGGTATATTTTAGGAAGGAATTATTAT